CAAACTTATATTAATATAAATGGTTATTGAGTTGTGTTGATAAGTATATACCCTTGATAGCATGTGATGAGAATGGCCCTTTACTTCTGTGGTCTTCCTCCCCAGACCCTAGCACCCCAGTATCATCATGAGAAAAACAACAGGTAAAGGCCCGTCAAGGGCAGTCTTTGAAATACCTGCTCAGTGTTCCTCAAAACTTTCTAAGTCATCAAAACAAGGAAAGTCTGTCTCAGCTAAGGAGCCTAAGTAGACATGAGGACTGAAATGTAATGTGTTATCCTGGATGGATAAAACGATAAAAACTAAAGAAATCTAAATAAATAACTATTTATATAAATTCAATAACTATTTATGTAAATTCATTAATTGTGACAAATGTATCTGTCTGAGTCTACTGTTGTACTGCGGACAGAAACACCTAAGATGGGTGATAAAAAAAAAAAATAGAAATTTACTTGAATCTTTCTTCTGGTGGCTGGAAAGTCTAAAGGTACGAGGCTGACATCTAGCTGGCCTGCATCAGCATATGGCCAACTGAGGAAGAAAGGATGGCAGCGTGTGCAGAGAGAGAACTGACAGAAGCCATTCGGTCCTGTGAGAACTAACCCCTTCCTAAGAGTTAGAAGTCACTGGGTCTCAGGAGATGTCATTAATCTATTCACAGCGGTGGGGCTTCCATGAGCTAATTACTGCCCACAAGTCTTCAGCTCTTATGAGTTTCACAGTCTTTCAATGTCATCGTACTGGTGACTAAATTTCAAAATATTTACTTTTGGGAGACAATTACTCAGACCTTTTATGAGTTTCACAGTCTTTCAATGTCATCGTATTGGTGACTAAATTTCAAAATACTTACTTTTGGGAGACAAACAATTACTCAGACCTTCGCAGTACCAAATCAATGGGAAGTATCAATAACAGGGAAACTGGGTATGCGGTACACAGGACCTTTCTGTATTTCCTTCACATTTTTTTCATGAATTTAAAAGTATTCCAAAAAAAAAAAAAAAAAGAAAAGAAAAGAAAACTACTAACCAAAAAAAAACAAAAAAAAAATCCAAAGGTATGAGTCTCAAAAAGACATCTGTATTTTTAACTAATACTAACTTTGTAGATGAAGTATTAAGCTACTAGGGTAGAAAGGGAGAGAGAAAGAATTAAATACCCAAGAGGGCTTCAAAAAGTTCATGGACAAGGTATATTATGAGAAAAAAAAATTATACATGAATTTCAAAGTGTTTGTGCACCAAAATAAACTTGTCCTTTAATTCTATCTTTTTCATGACCTTTTTGAAATTCCCTCATGTTATAATAATTATATCAGTTATCTCAGATTTGTATAGACTTAAGAAACCTCTCTTTTGTGTGTGTATGTGTGTGTATTTTCTGAATTGCTAAATCTTCAAGTGTCATAAAGTTACTTTGTCATTTAAAAAAATTATTTCAAGGGACCAACAGGTGGCATGGTGGCTAATGTGCTGAACTCCACATGGTCTGACCATGCTTCAAGTCCCAGATCCAGAGGCTTGAAGTTCACACTGGGCGTGTATATGTGTATGCCAAAAATCCCAAGAGGACACTAAAGGAGAAGGGATTTCAGTGTGGTCATGCCCCCAGAGGGTGATTTCTCACTTTCCCTCTCTCTCTCTCTCTCTCTCTCTCTCTCTCTCGAAAATGTATGCGTCCTATGACAAAAATCCTAAACAAACAAACAAAAACAGTTATTTTAAAAGAAAATGGAAAAAGTTCTCTTGATGATATGGTAATTATAGGACATCTGAGAGTAAATGTGGTTACTCTTTTAGGTAAAAAGGATAGAAGTTTCCAAGATTTTGTAGATTTAAAGCTCATGAGAATAAAACATTTGAATTGCATTTCTTTATCCAGTGAAGCCTGAATAAGAAGGAAAGGA